AGCAACGCGTTCGCCGGGAATCGAATCATGGATCTCTGGAATACGTGCCCAGCGTTCAGACCACCACACCACAAAGGCATGCCAAGAAGGCGGAAGAAATACCTTATAACATCAGTCCATAGGATAAAGTATAGTAGAGTAGGATAAAGTATATTATTAGTCGGTTTGGTGTGATTTATTTGGTTAGGGCAAAGCACATGAGAGCTATCTATCTGAATGTTAGGGATGCTTTAGTGGATGGCTTTAGAAAGCAAATTGGTTTGTATTCAAGTTACACATGGGGAAATCCACGAAAACACTTTTGCAGCTAGCCCATTCGCCTGAAATCCGATCCAGGTACAGCATTCAGTGACTTTACTGCTCGACCGCTGGTGAGCCCTTTAGTATGACCTGCAGGACGCATCAAATCCCTTTTCCATCCGAAGTTGGTAAATGGTAACTAAGGTTAAAATATCTTGAGTGGTTAACTGAGGCTGAAATTCCTAGAATGATTAGCTTTCTAGGAATCATTTAGTTAAAATAAGTTAAAATTTTAGACTGATTAGCTAAGGTTAAAATTCCGAGAATGATAATCTAAGGTTAAAATCGGCTGTCTTGTTTTAGAACACTTGATTCTGATACATGAAGGCAGTTCATCTAATTGTCACCAGGTACTTTCGATAAGTAATCGATTCTTTATATTGCAAATTCTCGTTTTACTTGTAACCCACCAAAAGTGAAGAAAAGAAAGAATGCGTGCTGAATTTTAAAACGAGCTTTTTCAATTTGTTTGTAGTCAGAGCAATAACTCCGCTGATATCTAAGAAAAAATCTTAATAGACTATAATTAGGTAATCATAATTTTAAGTTACGAAAGACATTGTAGTGTCATTATCTTAACTTCTGAGTAGGAAACGTGAAAAATGAGGAATGCCCTCACTGGGATTCGAACTCTGAACCTCTCGGTTGCTAACCAGACATGCTTCCAGTTAGACCACGAAGGCATGCGATAAGACAAGAGAAAATATATTACACTCCTCTTCACTTTAAAAGGTCAACTGAGGAAGAGGGAATCCAATAGGCAAATACTGGTAGTGACGAATTCTCATCCACCAGAACTTAATTCGAGGGCTACTGCAGAGAGTTATTTCAGAGTAGAAAATGTAAAAAATTAGCAGTGCTCCTGCCGGTTCTCAAACTATAGATATACTGATTGCTAGCCAATTACGTCACGAAAGCACGCGGGGGACAATATTTAACTATTGTATGGGCCATATATTAGTCACTTTTTACACCATTTCTAGTTGTATTTGCCACGCCTTTGCCGAAACACATAAAGGTGGTTGATTATTTTATTTTTATTGTATTATACGAGGATACTTTCCAGAATATTCTACCCGCTTAATATCAGTTTCTTGCTGTTTGTTCCCTCATGTCGTCTAGCTAGCTGCTAATAAAATGAGTGAAGTCGGCATTACGAAACTGAACGAACACCACAAAAATAGATAAAGACAACAACTCGTGGCGAATTTATTTAGCTGAATATGTTTTTAATCTATTCCAGTTTGTTAGGTTTATTTTGCCTAACACAATATTTTTATGCTAATTCTTTTCTGTACCTTCTCTTTCTTCCATCAACCTTCACCAGAATGCATACTAGGTTAAGTTTCAGTAGCAAGCCAATTTGTTCCTTAGAAAGAGAGCTATGGCAACGCACCAAAAAGCTTTTTATTCCTGAAATGTCTACCTGTCAGCTGATCTAAATTTCTATGACCTCAGCTGATCTAAATTTCTATGACCACAAATAGTGGTGACTAATTTTTGTGAACTTGTAATTGCATTAGAAGACATAGCTATTTAATGAATATCTTACCTATGTTTTCCCTCTTAACTGTGGTTTTGGAGTTTTGGACTTCTAGTAAGCGTGCGAAGAGGATAATTTGTCTGAAACACAAAAATTCAAAGCAGGTAAAAGTTAGTACTAAGGCTAAAACAATCCGCCTTCATAGAGCAACCGATCTCACTGCAGTTTGATTTGCCGACTAAGTAAATGTGAAGAATCAAAGCTATTTAGTAGTTTCTCCTTAATTTTCTGCTATATTTAACGGACGTAACTTTAAAAGTCTGTAATTATGTCGGATATTGTAACGAAGATACGCAAAATTATTTAATTTGAAATTATGAATAGTTTAATGAATTGCATACATGGAAGAATATAAACCCACTTCATGCATTTATTATTTATGCAAATTTACTTAGCCATCAAAGTCATTAACAACTTTTCAATGTGTTTTCTGAGTGGAATAATTTAATCCTGAAAGACTAGGAAGAATATTTCTGGGAATTAATTTGATCTTTTGAAATCAGCGTTTTAATGCATTTAAGTGCATGAATATCTATTTAAATATTATTTTAGAAGATTCTGTAAGTTTTAAAATTTCATGGACTTAAGGAAAAGATCGCTTAAATAAATAAGTGACTGCTAACAGAAATGGCTAACATCAATATATTATTTATCTACTTCATTTAAATTTGATAAAAATTGTTTCAAAATATGATACGTATGCTTTCTATAAATCTTTTGATAACATTTATTCTTCTGAAGCAAAATATAAAGGATTGACATAAGTTCACCGAAATAACGATATTTATTCAACAAAAATCGTTGTCTGATCAACTTCAAAGAAGACTATAAATAAAACAAATATATAGAGTACTTCCAAGGAATTTCAACAAGAAACCAATTTGCTACGTCTGGACTGAAAAGAAGCCTTTTCACTTCCACCTTTCATTCCTGCTATTCATAATATGAAAACATGATATTTCTACCTTAAAGTGATTGCACAAATATTGTGAAGCGATTTACTTTTATTGAAATATTCTTTGTTGCACAAGTCTTCAAGAATTCAAGTATTAATTATTCTCCTCAGAGTAGCGATTTGTGCTGTAATGAAACTAGAGAGAAACAATTATATTTTCTTCATCGGATTATAATATTATCTATATAGTTGTTAATAACAGAGATTTCAAACATTAAAATCTGGAATATAAAAAGAGATTCTTTTATTGACTTTATTTTACTTCATCCGTCGTAATAGACGTAGAAGTCCGAAGCTTCAATTCTAGGCTCGAATTTGGCAGGATGTGATCTAGTTCTGACACATAGGATCATTTACAGAGGTAATATTCAGTGATTCTGAACGGAAGATTAATCTTCTAAAGAGCAGCAGGGAAACTAGAAATCGGCCGGCTAGATGGGTCAGAGGGAGGAAGGGCCCCCTGAGAGTTTTCCTTGTACTGCGTTACTTCATGGTGGCGATTATGGGTTGTATATCCAAGAACAAATTAAAGTCTCCCCTTGCTGGGGTGATAACCGATACAAGAGTTAACATGACTATTGGCCAACCTGATGAAGACAGATTCTTGGAAGGCCGATTCTTGAGAAATTTCTCAGCCTTCATGCTGTGGCTTATGAACGGAATTGTCCAACCTGATGAAGACAGATTCTTAGAAGGCCGATTCTTGCAAACTCAGCCTTGATGTTGCGGCGCATGAATGAAATTACCAAACTGATAAAGTATGCTCTTGGAAGACCGCTTTTGGCTTCATCCTTGGTGCTATAGAATATGAATTCAGAGGAAATATCAGCGTGCAGGAAACAAAGTCTGGATTACGTTTGAAAAATATTACTTAAGAAAAAATTACTTTTTATCCCTTAATAGCATGAATCGCAAACAAGGCACGCTATTGAATTTTTTAACTACCAATTTAAAAGTATTTGAATACCAAAATCTAAAATAAATGACAGCAAAACAGAACCTGGGTTTTGGCAGAAAAATCCGTTTTACCAGGCACTACAGCCATAAATGTTTAACACATGGGTTTACTTTTTAGCCCATATCTAAAGACGAAGATGTGCGTCAGATGTTTATCATTTGCCATGAAGGTTTTGCAAGTGATGGTAAGAAACCGTCAGATTTTACCACATTTGAAGTCTAAATATTCTGAGCTGAAAAATAATCCATGCGTATTTTGAGCGTAAAAAAATACGATTACAAACAAAGGAATTCAAACAAAACTTTGTCCAGAATAAGTTACTACGGAAATTCACATACTTAGTTGCACTTTGGATTCTAAAACAAAAAAAAAAAAAATCATTTACCACTGCAAAAATTTAATTAAGCCATCGGTTCGTTAAATGTTTTCACAAATGTTACCAATCGGAATGCAAAAAACCTTTTAGAAACGCTGCTCTACACTGTTACCTCCATTGCCTTGCCTGGCCATTGCTGCTCTTTACTGCCGGTATTTTAGGTATTTTAGGAGGCGCTGTACCACTGGATGAACTTAAGAATATTTTTTAATGTTTTTTTTCTATTTTTCGTATCTTGTAGCTAGCATTGCATCTTATTTTTTGCTTGTAAGTCAGCCACCCTTTCTCTAATTATAGAATTGTATCATCGGCAATTTAAATAAAATTATAACGCATATTAATACAATTTCAGTACAAATGATAGTGATATGAAATGAAAAGTACAAGTACGAATGAAAATGTGTTACAGTCAGTAAATTTTTTTAAAGTAGAACGGTTGCGAAATTAAAATTATAAGTTTACCAATTTTCACTTTCATATTATTTTTCCGTATGTTCCTTGCTAAGATCAAAAACAGTATTTTCGGTAATGCATTTTTCTATTAAATGCTTAATTGCAAAGAGTATGCAGTCTTAAGTTCGTAGAGACATTAGGTATATTTTTGGAAGTAGGAAAGATGAAAAATAGCAACCGCCTTCGCCGGGAATCGAACCACGGAACTCTGGAATATCGGCCCACTGTGCAGAACCACTACTCCACGAAGGTACGCTAGGAAAGTGGCAGAAACACCTTATAAGTTAAAATAAATATAATTTCGTTATTTATTTGTCGGCAGTCGACAAATGAGAAGAGGGAAGAGGCCTCTAACTACTTCCTACAGGTGACCAAGTAACATAAGTTATTAAAACTAAATCTGATATTTACTTACCAGAATCATCTTTTCTGAGGTCTTGATTGTTCCTTGAAGGTTCATCATATTGTCTTTCTTCATATCTATATGCCTGCTTTTCCAGATCCTCGTCATTGTCAGAAGAACTGTAGTCTTTCCACTCATGGCTTCTCTGTCGCCTTATTCTTGAGCTAGGCCTATTTAGACGGCCTGCTTTTCCGACAGAATCCATTAGATCTTATTATCTGTGAAAAGAAATAAACATTAACGCAGATGCAAACATAAAAAAGCCATGAAAATTCAACTAAGCATTATATAAATACTAATAGCTTACGTTTCTTTTAAGAAATGGGTCAGTCTTAGGTAATTACGCTAAGGTATCATTTAAATTTCTAAACCAATTATTTTATGTTAATTCCTTCATCTATCAGCCTCGTTTTCATTTCTCTGCGGGAATGTACACTTCCAGGGCTCGGGATATTTAAATTATGTAGAAAGAAGGAAATATTTAAAGGAATGTTTTGGAGAGTAAAATCACAGAGCGTATTCTGCCTGCTTGAAGGCCACATTGCTAACTTTTGATTCTCTAGTGATCAGTATTCTGCGGCGTTGAATTATTCTTGTCATTAGTCTTGTTTACGTCGACTTCGGCCACAGCCAGCTTGCGCGCTAGTTACACTGTGAAATTTAATTAGTTAATCCATTATCTTTGATTTGAAGGCAAAGCTATTGTCTTCTGTAACCACAAATTGGTGCAGTCTGTTAAACTTTATTTGGATTAATAAAGAGTCCTTTACATCCCTGTCTCTGTGGTACTTATATGACACAGTGAACTCTAAAAAAACTCTGTGAACTCTAAAAAAATGTTGATTAAATTCAACATTTTTTTAGAGTTCTGGTTTAATTGCATGCTACCTAAGAAAGCCAGATCTTATAGTACTATTATTATTGCAAGTCAGTGAGATAAGCAAACTAAACTTACAAAAAACTTACATTAAGTTACGGAAATATTTATTGAACTGGAAACAGTAAGTATTTTGCCTCGAGATCGTTTCACAAAATTTAACTTTACGACGTACCCACATCATGATTTAATATGAATGCAATGTTTTACTCAGCTTATTTAAGTTATTAGCTTTGCAATAATTACATTATCGATTAAAAGTATAGAACTTAGAAGAAAACTGAGAGAACTAAGCTCAGGATGAATGAAAAAAAATGAAGGTTAGTAGTGTAACTGAAGCTAATGTAGTGTTAGTTCGCTGATATCGCAGCTTATATTAGCACGAACTTTAGTTATTATTAAGGTAGTTAACTTGATAGAAAAGAAAATATTGCTACATTGAAACAAGGACGAAGTTACATTTAGTTGGCAAAATTAGTTTATTTAAAATGTATTATTACTATAAACGCTGCTTTTTGTTAAAATAAAAGCAATACCCTTGGTTTCAAAAGAGTGATATAATTTACGCTTTGCTTCTCTACGTCTCAGATTAATATTTCAGTAAAGGAATTGGCTGCAGTGTTTTTTTCCCGAATTTTATCTGCATGGTTGGTAACCAACTGAGATCCGCGAGCTTCATTCATGTATTAGATTGTTCCTTGGTTAATAAAATTAAAGATTATTTATTATTGTTAGTAATTACAAACGTTCTGGTGTATGTATATTCCCATCCTTGGGGCTGCTTAAACGTGCTTTCTAAAATTCCGTTAGACTATTAGGTATTTCGGGCCAAAAAATACAAATAATCAGCTGTGCTGTCGCTGGGATTCTAACTACCGTTTTTCCAGTTGTTAGACGGATGTGCTAAACACTTTTACCACGACAGCACACACAGAAGAATGATAAACATTCTTACAGTCTCCACATTGAAAGGGGGGATGAGCAGAGGCATGAGACTTGGTTGACGAAATCCTTATGGTGATGGACCCACCATATTTTAGTTTTAATGCCACCTCAGAGAATCTAAGCTTTTCAAAGCGAGGAAACATAAAAAGTCAGCTGCGTCATCGACGAGTTTCAGAGATCAAAGATCTACCACCCGCTTACTGGACATATTGACAACTTTCACTAAAAGAATACGAAACTTCCTTACTATGTCACTGGAATAAGTGGGCACTGACTTTAAGAAACCAATGTTCTGAGAAAAATATCCCAGATAAGGCAAAGAAATCGACTGAAAGTTGGTCAGTCGTATGTACAGAAAATGGCTGGCTATACACCTTATAAGATATTTCTTCCGCCTTCCTAGCTTGCCTTCGTGGTGTAGTGGTTCTGCATGTTGGGCCGGTATTCCAGAGGTTTGTGGTTCGATTCCCGGAGAAGGCGATTGCTTATTTTTCATCCTGCCTGCTTCCAAAACTGCCTCATGTGTCTACAACCTAAGAGCCATTATATTATAACTAACCTCTACATAACATGTGAGACCAAATTTAGCCTGAAATCTTCCAGAAGGCGGCGTGGCATTGACTCCACAAGGTGCTGATACGTAGTCTGAAGAATCTAGTACCAAGCGCTCACCAATTGGTTCTACGATTCCCGCATATTGCGAGGGGGTAGCGTGGCAGCACGAATTTGGTTTTCCAGGTGGGACCACAAATGCTGTATTGGAATAATGTAAGGTGAATTTGGAGGCCAGGACATGACTTGAAAGTCACTGGAATGTTCTTTGAAACACTCCCTGACGATTAGACACTTATAACATGGTGCATTATCCTGTTGGTAAATACCATCCCCACGCCGGAAATATTGTTGTTATGAATGGGGAACCTGGTCTGCAACGATGTTCACGTAGCGCACAGAGATCAGGCATTGTTTTACGGGGATTATGGGTCCTAATGTGCTATTGCCCACACCAAAATACCCCCGCCACTGGACGGAGACTATTAGTTAAGTCTCCGTCCAACTGTGCATACAGGAGCCAGAGTCTCGTTTGGAAATCGGCGTATTAGCACACACCCGTCGATGTGATGGACCAGAAAACGTGATTCGTCGCACCATGCAACTTTCTTTCATTCTCTTAATGCCCAATTCCGATGTTTCTTGGCCCATTGCAGACGCAGCTGGCGATGACGTGCCGTCAGTGCAGGGATATTCTTCGGCCTCCGGCTGCGTAGGCCCATACGCAGCAATGTACGCTGCACAGTGTGTTAAGAAACTGTCTGGGTCGCCCTATTGTAGCTGGTGGTGATTTTGGTTGTTGTAGCTCTTCGGTAACTGTGAACAATGCATAGTAACTTATCTTTCCTCTGGAATCACTGCGCCGTCGACGACACACTGCTGGCCAGCGACTTGTCATTTCACCATCCATACACCACTTTCCATGTGAACATTTGATGTTGTAGCGCGAATACTAGGACTACGAAGATTACGTTTAAGAGCGAAACTGGTGATTACACAGAATATTAAATCTTCAGTTTTTTTAATTAAGAAATTCTATCAAAAGGATGCAGGCCATATTTAATAGATAATAGTAGTTTTCACCCTTACACAGAAACCCTTATAACATAAAATTCTCCTCAGGATATCCTGAAGATAATGCTCATGGGATCAGCGTACATCCTCGGCAGATCTCAGATTATCGCCTTAAGTTCCCAAGCACATCCTTCCGAGTGCTTAATGTCTCATCCCAGTATATCACAAAGACAACCTGTTTGTGTCTCCTCGAGAGTGTACGGGATATGGTGAGGATTTTAAAGTCCTAGTTACAATATCCTCAGCACATCTCAGAATATTTCCACAACACACACTCCCGAGTACTCAATGTCTTATCCCAGTATATTCTTAAATACCACTCTAGCAAATTCGATAAAGCTAAGTCACTAGAAGAACTGAGAATAAATGTTCTAATAATGTTTGTCGATGGAAGCCTCCATAAATATGCAGTGCGAATACACTCAGGATGTTATATAATGCATTCATCAAAAGCATTTAAGAATCAATATCTTCAAGACACTTTCATATATCCTGGGACACAGCAACTTAGCATCCTTAGAATGCTAAGTTGCTGAGGCTTCAGGACATCTGAGAACTAAGATCCTCAAGATATTCTCAGTATATTCAAGAACGTTTTGATATAAAGAGAACAACATAAGCATGAGAATATTCTGTGTTGCGGGGGGGGAATAAAATAAAATTTCAATACGCGAATACAACCAGAAAAAAATATTAGCATATGAGAATTTCAAATTAAGTCGTTATCTTTTTATTTATTTATTTATCATTGCTTTTGTTTTATTCACTTTCTTTGTTACTTAACATTATTAGATAACTTTCCGACTCTTTCTTCGCTTATCTCTAGTTTTTTATAAGTTTTTTAAATACTTTTTCTACACTTACCTGCCTCTTTTAATAGCCAATTTAAATTTCTGGCCAAAAAACTGTACATTTTGCCAAGGAAATTTAAAAATGTTTCTTTTTAGATTCCTCATTTCTATGCAATTAAAGGATTCTTTGTGTTAACATACCCTAAAATACTTTAACCCCCATCTCCGTACATTTTAAACGTTGAGTGCAATGAAGCTAATATGTCCATGTAATGCCGTAAGCTGTTTTCTAAGATTTTATGTTTTGATCTTTAAAATAATTTTCTCAAGCGTAAAGATTTCCTTAAATCTAAAAAAATGTCAATTATGATATGAAAAACGGTACACTGAACACAGATATTGTTTACGATGCTTTTAAAAAAGAGTTGACTCACTTTTTTTTTTGAAAATATACAGAAAGATGTTTTTCTTAAAACTTTTGATCACTTCCCAGATTTTTTATGTGCTCTGAAAAACTACTTTGTCCAAAACTTTAAAATAATGTCAAAAAATGTACAACTATGACTTAAGAAAAAACAATGGCACGTATAAATAAATATAACCTAGCAAAATATTTTTTTCTTTCTTTCTTTTTTTCCAAAGAAGAGCAACGCTTTCAAAGAAACAGGCTTAACTTTTTATTTTCGAGTCTCATATTTTTTGAACGCTACTGCGTTGTACCTAAGTCAGTTCCGCTATTGCAAATGTATGACAGCAAAATTTGTCTCCAGTAAATTTTATTTATATCTGAGATCTGTCTGAATACGAACTTTTAAACTTTTCGAATATCTGGATAAAATCGTATTGGTGAGGGAGTTGTATGAGGGAATGGAAATGCAACAGACTCCCTACAGGTATACGATATATTTTATAAGGAAATTGTGATATCTTAGAGCAGAAACGCGCCAAAGCATGTATTGCAGAAAAAACTCTTCTTTTT